GACAGAGATGCAGAGAAGATGGAGATGGAGATGCAGAGAAGATGGAGATCGAGATGCAGAGGAGATGGAGATGGAGATGGAGATGCAGATGAAGATGCAGAGGAGATGGAGATACAGAGAAGATGGAGATGGAGATGAAGATGCAGAGAAGATGGAGATGGAGATGGAGATGCAGAGGAGATGGAGATGCAGAGAAGATGGAGATGGAAATGAAGATGCAGGGGAGATGGAGATGTAGAGGAGATGGAGATGGAGATGTAGAGGAGATGCAGATGAGATGGAGATGCAGAGGAGATGAAAATGCAGGAGAGATGGAGATGCAGAGGAGATGGAGATGCAGAGAAGATGGAGATGCAGAGGAGATGGAGATGCAGAGGAGATGAAGATGCAGAGGAAATGGAGATGGAGATGGAGATGCAGAGGAGATGGAGATGCAGAGGAGATGGAGATGCAGAGGAGATGAAGATGCAGAGGAGATGGAGATGCAGAGGAGATGGAGATGCAGAGGAGATGGAGATGGCGATGGAGATGCAGAGGAGATGGAGATGCAGAGGAGATGGAGATGGAGATGCATAGGAGATGGAGATGCAGAGAAGATGGAGATGGAGATGCAGAGGAGATGCAGAGGAGATGGAGATGCAGAGGAGATGCAGAGGAGATGCAGAGGAGATGGAGATGCAGAGGAGATGGAGATGCAGATGCAGAGGAGATGGAGATGCAGAGGAGATGAAGATGCAGGGGAGGAGGAGATGGAGATGCAGAGGAGAAGGAGATGCAGAGGAGATGGAGATGCAGAGAAGATGGAGACGGAGATGCAGATGGAGATGGAGATACAGAGGAGATGGAAATGCAGAGAAGATGGAGATGGAGATGCAGAGAAGATGGAGACGGAGATGCAGAGGAGACAGAGATGCAGAGAAGATGGAGATGGAGATGCAGAGAAGATGGAGATCGAGATGCAGAGGAGATGGAGATGGAGATGGAGATGCAGATGAAGATGCAGAGGAGATGGAGATACAGAGAAGATGGAGATGGAGATGAAGATGCAGAGGAGATGCAGAGAAGATGGAGATGGAGATGGAGATGCAGAGGAGATGGAGATGCAGAGAAGATGGAGATGGAAATGAAGATGCAGGGGAGATGGAGATGTAGAGGAGATGGAGATGGAGATGTAGAGGAGATGCAGATGAGATGGAGATGCAGAGGAGATGAAAATGCAGGAGAGATGGAGATGCAGAGGAGATGGAGATGCAGAGAAGATGGAGATGCAGAGGAGATGGAGATGCAGAGGAGATGAAGATGCAGAGGAAATGGAGATGGAGATGGAGATGCAGAGGAGATGGAGATGCAGAGGAGATGGAGATGCAGAGGAGATGAAGATGCAGAGGAAATGGAGATGGAGATGGAGATGCAGAGGAGATGGAGATACAGAGGAGATGGAGATGGCGATGGAGATGCAGAGGAGATGGAGATGGAGATGCAGAGGAGATGGAGATGCAGAGGAGATGGAGATGGCGATGGAGATGCAGAGGAGATGGAGATGCAGAGGAGATGGAGATGGAGATGCATAGGAGATGGAGATGCAGAGAAGATGGAGATGGAGATGCAGAGGAGATGCAGAGGAGATGGAGATGCAGAGAAGATGGAGATGGAAATGAAGATGCAGGGGAGATGGAGATGTAGAGGAGATGGAGATGGAGATGTAGAGGAGATGCAGATGAGATGGAGATGCAGAGGAGATGGAGATGCAGAGGAGATGGAGATGCAGAGGAGATGAAGATGCAGAGGAAATGGAGATGGAGATGGAGATGCAGAGGAGATGGAGATACAGAGGAGATGGAGATGGAGATGGCGATGGAGATGCAGAGGAGATGGAGATGGAGATGCAGAGGAGATGGAGATGCAGAGGAGATGGAGATGGCGATGGAGATGCAGAGGAGATGGAGATGCAGAGGAGATGGAGATGCAGAGGAGATGGAGATGGAGATGAAGATGCAGAGGAGATGGAGATGAAGATGCAGAGGAGATGGAGATGGAGAGAAGATGGAGATGCAGAGGAGATGGAGATGCAGAGGAGATGGAGATGGCGATGGCGATGGAGATGCAGAGGAGATGGAGATGGAGATGCAGAGGAGATGGAGATGCAGAGGAGATGGAGATGGCAATGGAGATGCAGAGGAGATGGAGATGCAGAGGAGATGGAGATGGAGATGCAGAGGAGATGGAGATGGAGATGCAGAGGAGATGGAGATGGAGATGAAGATGCAGAGGAGATGGAGAGAAGATGGAAATGCAGAGAAGATGGAGATGCAGAGGAGATGGAGATGCAGAGGAGATGGAGATGGCGATGGAGATGCAGAGGAGATGGAGATGCAGAGGAGATGGAGATGGAGATGCAGAGGAGATGGAGATGGAGATGAAGATGCAGAGGAGATGGAGATGAAGATGCAGAGGAGATGGAGATGGAGAGAAGATGGAGATGCAGAGGAGATGGAGATGCAGAGGAGATGGAGATGCAGAGGAGATGGAGATGCAGAGGAGATGGAGATGCAGAGGAGATGGAGATGCAGAGGAGATGCAGAGGAGATGGAGATGCAGAGGAGATGGAGATGCAGAGGAGTAGCCTACTCAATACACCAGAAATTATGACAAATAGTATTATAAAATGTGCTCAATCAAATGCTCATCTTCACAGGACGATGGGGATGAAGAAACAGTTTCTGCTGCCACAGAGAGCCCTACAGAGGAAATGTTAATAGTATCTGTCTACATATCAAACAATCTACACATTCAAATTTCTTCACATTATTTATGTAGAGTAGCCTATATAATCTAAGTTTATTTCTAAGTATAAACGGATATTCTTATCTCTCCCCCTGTCCCCAGAGTGTGGAAGAACAGAAGGAGGAAGGTCCATCAACTTCTGGTGCACAGATAAACACAGTTCAGTGATTTTCAGTGAACGCCACAGTTCAATTCTGTAGAATGTGTTTAGAACTACATGATTTAACTCTAATCTACTGTATTTTCAGTTGCCAGTTAAGAAGTTATATAGACTTCATCTTGCTTAAAAAAAAACAGCAATGAATAAATGTACCGAAAGAATGAATGAAGTGTTTAAACACCGCTTCCTCTTTAAAAAAGGGGAGGAGACCGAAATAAACTCTGGGTTTACGGAAGTAAACCTGCTCCCGACCAGGTTAGGTTCACAGAGTAAGTTACCATAGTAACATACTCTGAGTATAAGTTACCTCTCTTTCAGAAACGAGCTTGACTTACCCTGCATTCTCAGGTTTGACTTCCCTCCCATTCTGAAACAGAAAACCCAGAGTTTCCCTCATTTTAACGTTAACATAGTCAGAGTTTTCACTTAAAGGTGACCTATAATTCAAAATTGAATTTACCTTGGTATAGTCAAATAACAAGAGTTCAGTGCATGGACATGACATAGAGTGAATCTCAAACTGGACTGTTTTCGCGTTCTCATTTAATTCACGTTTATGAAAAACACCCCTGAAAAACGGTCGGGATAAAATAGTCGGGATCATTACTATGTACGCCTCCAAATATTTGCATAATGCCAGCCCTCAATGCCAGGCGGAACTGCGCAGCCGAAGCTGTTTCCTCAACTTGGGCCAATACAGAGCTGGCCTCGGATCGAGCGAGTAGCATCCTGCGGTGGACATCCAACCCAACCACATCCAAGTGTGACGTCAGAAGCCACCACGCCCATGCCCAAATTGGACGCATTCTCATTAACATTTAAAAACAGGAAGAAGCATCGAGAAGAGAAGACTAGAAGACGAAGGTAACTGCGAAACAAAATGCACAAAACACACTTGCGGTTTTAGTATAAACACTGTTTAACATAATACGGATGAGTTGTATGAGAATGAGATGTTACCTGTTGAAAGCAGCTCTTATCACTTTAATAATAGTTTGTAATGAGGTCAGTGCGGTTGATCACTTGACTAGCATTGTCAAAATATCGATGTAATTCGAATCAATAAGGTTTGATGATGTTGTTTTAGAGCTATGAATTATCTTCAACTTACATATTTGGTCATTTAACTCCCCTGTAATGTCTCAACTGAGTTGTGTGTTACATTTGGCTGAGTGAATTTCGTATCAGTAACTACGTTAGATTCTCAACTGAGAATTTTGTTTTGTATACTATTACTATTATACTATACCAACTAACTGCATTATTATATCACCAATGTCATGTTGTTATTTGGATTAAGGGTAAATATGAAAAATATATTATTTCAGTGCTTATGTGTGACGTTACATCCTGTAAATCTTATTCTGCTTGTAAAGAATATGAGATTTGATTGTCACTCTGTCAGTTGTAAATACTCCATATTGAAAAAGTTTGAAGTTGTTCTGTCATTGCAAAGAAGTTATACATGTTTAGATAATGTAATGTGATGATAAACTGTTGTAATATGAATAAGTTTTATTATTGATTCATAGTAAATACAGTGACAGCAAGCCAGCCATCACATCAGCAGACTTTCCTAACTATATTATACTTCTTTTCAGGAGTACTACAATTTTGAAAGCAAGTGATTGTTTGCCATGTCGGTAAGTAAAAATAAACTTTGGTTTGTATCCTAATCAAGTTAGCGTACTGTTAACTGTCAGGCCAAAGGTTTGTCTGAATTGGAATTAACAACTTAACGATAGCTAGGTTAAAACGTTTTGGTCTGATCACTTATCACTTACAACCCTAACTTATCACTTCAAAGTAACTTGGTTGAGCAACCGAATCATTTCACTACATCTTACTTGATAACTCTGTGTATGTGCCAAATTATCTATCTATTCTAGATTAATGGAAAGATCACATAATTATTGTCATTGTCATGTTTTACAGCATCCTACACATTTTCAGTTCAAGCCTGATGCAGATCAATTCTGCCTGGATGGGTGGTTCGAATGTCCCTGCTGCAGTTTTATGACTAAAGAGAAATTCTCATTTTCTATTCATCCATTGCAGGTCAGAGTAGATTATTAATTATTTTTGCACAATGCCCAGTGCACCCTTTTGTTACTGATATTTCTGTTAACACAACAGTGACTGTTCTCTGAAAACTATTTCAGTGAAGTGGAAGATTTTAACCGACAAATTGACAAACAATTGAGGAAAGAAGGGAGACCATTCAATTGATGGGTGTTGCTCTTACATTTACACATTTGGAGTTTGGAATTAGATGTCAGTAACATGAATATTCTATTTGACTTTCTCTCTCTACAACTCCAACATTTCATAAGTGTTAAGTGTTAAATCAGAAATAGACATTTGTTTAACATGTTCAACTGAAATATATTCTCTCTCTCTCTCTCTCTCTCTCTCTCTCTCTCTCTCTCTCTCTCTCTCTCTCTCTCTCTCTCTCTCTCTCTCTCTCAGAGTTGAAGCCATTCTTGCAGCAACTGGTGGAAAAGGGGATCTTTTTGGTGCTTTTGTTCTAGCACAAATAATTTTGTTCTTTCATATAATATAAATAAATACATGTGTATATATAAATAAATTCATGCTTGAATCATTCTCGAGTTTTGCCTTCTGATATCTGGCCATATCATTTAGTGACTGCATATGCTGATTCCATCGTTATTTTACCTGATAATGAGCAAATTAGTTAAACTTAAGGAGGTTTAACAATATACAGTATAATTCAAGAAACTAAGACTCACTCAACTTTTTCAGTTGTTTAAGGATTGATATACATTTTTTATTTGTTTTGTGTAAATTAAATTTTTTCAAAATGCCTCTGATACATTTTGAATAAAAAAAAACACATTTTATAAAAATACTCCTGAGATGAAATGTCTTTCGAACTATGTATGTACAAACTAAAAAACTAGGGTCCTGTAACCGGGGTCCTAAAGCTGCAGCCTCCGATTGTGCAGGAATATACTATTGATTTTAAGTAGTATAGTGAATGTGTTGCTCTGAACAACTGTGACATTGGTTATTTTAACAAAAAAGTTATCACACTTGCATAGATGGGTCATTTTAGACCCATTTGATGTATTAACTTGATGTATTAACACAAAATATTAAATAAAAAATTAATTTGTGACCAAGATATTTTGAACTATGATGATATGTTGATATGTTAAACTCATAAAACCTGTACAGAAGGTGAAGCGAGAGATTAACTGTTTTTTTATGTATTAGAATATTGTGCAAAAGTTCATTTATTTCAGTAATTCAACATAGCTGTAAGCCATAATCATCAAATTTATAACACATAAAGGCTTGAAATATCTCACTTTGCATGTAATGAGTCTATATTATATATTAGTATCACCTTTTAGTTGAATTACTGAAATAAATGAACTTTTGCACGATATTCAAATTTTTCAAGTTTCACCATATTGGTTCTTTAAGGTTTACATAAATTCCATTCTGCTGTTTTATTATTTGATTTCAAAGTCATTTGCTATAACAGGCATTAACTAATAAGTGAATTCTTAATTTGGTTGTAAAAATGCAATATTTCTATAACCACATAGAAAGAAATGTAAAAAAAGTTTACATTTATTTTTTTTTATTTAGAAGGGGTAACTATAAGTGCAGTTTGGATCCCATATAATTAAGAAAGTGACAAAAACTCGTTTTAGTTTAAGTATAGATGCTCCCTTATACGTTTATAATAGCAAAACCATGATTATTTATTACCATTTGTGTAACAGAAATACAAGAGAAATACAAAAATATCGTTTTAAGGTACATTGTTTACTTGTACTACCATGTCATTAACTTACAAAACCAGTGAGCAATGCTCACTGTTAAGGGAGTGATTGTGATTTAGACCATTCCAAGCCTGCCAAAGCGTCACAATTTAACTGCACCAATAATAGCGTCACACTTCTATACAAATAACCTCATCTTTAAATCGAGTCACGTGCCGTATTTGGACATGGGCGTGGCTTCCGACGTCACACTTGGATGGGCGTGGCTTCTGACGTCACACTTGGATGTGGGCCGGGTTGGATATCCACCGCAGGATGCAGCGAGCTGTACTTGGATCGAGCTACCAAGCAACACTTTCTGATGTGTAATTGTTCAAGTTCAGACAGGTAATCTTTCTCTCAAAATCGTTCAATACTGTTTATGCATCAGTAAGTCAAGCCAGTGACTAAAATATCAGCTTCACATCGTTTCTTTTAGTAGGATGAAAATAATCGTATTTAAATTGTGAACAAATTATATACAGAAAGCGATCAAAGAACAATCTTTCCACACAGCGCGAGTTTATCTGGACACTTGCCAAACTCGTTATGAAATCAATGACGCACGTTACTGCACAACGAAGCTCTTACTGTATTTACATCATCGTGTTTGCATTGGTGAAAGCATTAGAGAGTGCAGAAACTGCTTTGCAATGATAAGATCTTCATTCTCGCGATCAACACTGTCATCTGCTCAATGCTCATCACGGCAACATTTTCTGTGATGGGAATAGATCTAAATACTTTAAAAACATCTCACGATTCGTTAATCTCGATAGCTGTTATAGTAAAAACGTATAATAGCAGTAGTAAAAGTATTCGGGAGAGAGTTTCACATGTAATGCGTAGGTATTTCATATGCAAGCATGTCAGCCAATCACAGCAGTGGCCGCGGTTACACTGAATCCCACAGCCAATCACAGCAGTGGCCGCGGTTACACTGAATCCCACAGCCAATCACAGCAGTGGCCGCGGTTACACTGAATCCCACAGAGACACGCCCCTTCAAACAGAGTATTCAAATCAGAGGCTAAAAGCAGGCTAGGAAAAATGCCATTTATTTCTAAATTATAATTATTTTTTATCTAAAAAACATACTAACATTATAAGGGTAACCCAGGAAACATTATAAAATAATTAAAAAAAACATTCTAGGGCACCTTTAACCTCCTTTCTGAAACAGGCTCATGAAGGAAATCTGCAGGTCCTCTCTGCAGTTCCAGCACTTCTTCTCTTGAGGCGACTGGAGAGGGTATTTGCATCTTTCTGCAGTTCACAAGGGTTTTGGAGAAATTATGAAATAGTGTAAAAAATAATATTGAGGCTGTTCTAAGTCAAATTAACAAAAGACTAAAATAATTATTAACAAAGAAACAATAAACCCTCACTTGGTTGCTGCCTGGTTTGGCGTATTGCTGGCGCTGTGTCTGTGTTGAAGTTGCTTTGACTGCTGGAGAGGTCTAACGCGTGAAACAAATACGAATCATCATATTATTTGTTGTCATATATCACGTGTATCTTTAAATCGTTTATCCTCAGCAGTGATAAGTTTTATTTGCTTTTAAAACAATATTGTGTCACTCTATGTTACACTGTTCCTCTAGTTCAGCTTCCCTCTGTAAACCGCCAGCCGGAACAGGTGAGTCCGCCCCAATGATGTCTTGGACCATTTAGAGTCTGACATCTCAGCAACAAAACGCACTCGGTGCGGTGAAAACAATGGAAAAAAAATGCGTTTTTGTCTTACCAGTTTTGTTGGACTATGAAGGCTTATTTATTTTCGTATTTTTTTTACTACCTCTGAAACCGTCCTCTTTACACCTAGATATCGCGCATTCATTTTCTCTGTCATTTACTCCCACTGTTTTTTTTTTTTTTTGGCAGCAGTTACAACGGGATTAAGTTTGCTTTTAAAATAGCCTTTTAAGTTTGCTTTTAAAATAGCCTTTTTTTATATAAATAATATATAAAAATAGCTCGGCTAATGTGTATAGAAGCTTCCATGCTGCCAGATCGAGCCTCTCGAGGCTGGCTTCTGGTGTACTCTGAAGTGAAATGGCTGGGAACAACCGATCTTTGCTATATGAACTTCCTCTGAGGGTCAGTATCAGTGACGCAACAAAAAATGCCATTAAAAACAACACCTCTGGCCATTCCGTTGGGTTGTTTGTCCAGTCACAGATTCTGTAGGTACGATTCTGACCCAATGCAATGCGGCTCAGTTTCTCTATCTTGCTCTGTCGGGCGGCAGAAGTGATTCTAAGTACGCCATACTGGGTAAACACCATGCTTTTCCAGTCAGGATTGACACCGACCAAGTCTATTGGCCTGTTTGCTGTTTCTATTATGGTGAGCCATCCATGGAACAAACACAACAAGCCCTTAAAATGGATAAAAGAACACATATTATAGGCTACAGACACTTGATGTTTAATCTTATTAGATGATTAGTTAATTGCATTTGATAGATTTAACTTTCAATAAACATTTGTAATGGGTTTGTAGAAGGTGTTTTTATGTTTGGCTTGAGTTGTTGCATTTCCACTGTTCTGACCAGCAGGGGGCACCAGCGTTTGGCGTTTCGAACCTGTGAATCATTTTGTGAAGTAATTGGTTCAATTGATTCGAATCTTTGAAAAAACTCGTTTCTGCCGCTGCTCCCCAGTCCACTAGATGTCCCTCAATCTAAGTAAATGCCTTGACGAAAACCATCGAAGGAATTACCACATTCAAACAGGGAATTGTAGTTTTTTTTTCAAACTCTAACGGTCTTTGGATTAATCTGTGTGGTTTTATTTGCTCTTTATAGACACCAGTGTGTAGAGTCGAGTCTTTGGAGAGGTTAAGCGGCTCATGTATGTGAGTGTGAACCGAAAGAAAGCTGTTTATCAGGATTGATCTGGAACTTTCCACGCGCGCCCCTCCCGCGCGCACCTACCCATAACCCAGCGCGCGCGTCTCCATTCTTCTCTCCAGTCCAACATGTCCATGACAGAGGGTCCGTTAACTGTGCTCGGCCAGAGGACGACCGGCGAGTCCGTCAGGGCTCAAAACGGTGAGTCGGGAGCATGTTTGACCACAGCAAAACAAAGCGGCGCGGTAAACGGCCCGATGTGGCGATGTTTTAACCGGAAGAGCTGCCGCGGCCGGTGTCTCGAGCAGCACGTGCGGCTCAGAGGAACCAGTGTGTTTAAAACTGAACCTACAACAAAAGACGTATTCACTGTCTTCTGCAGTCGTTATTGTGTTCATTTCTTTGGTCTGCACGCTGTCGGAACAGTGATTGTGTTTCTTGACCCGGTGACGTTAGATTATCCATCACTGATATAGCTACGCATGTGCGTTACTTTATCAGATGGAGGAATCAAAGCATGTGAAATATGAAGTATGAGTGATACTATGATGGGCAAAAGTTTTTGTTTGAACTACACGAAACAGTAATGTTGAAGAAAAATATAATCCATGCATATCGACGACATACATAAATGGCTTTGGTAACTAGACTTCTGCTATTGTGTGATGCTGCATCCACGCCCCGTTTAGTGTCAGTGTTTACTTTAAGTCCACAATGTAGGCTTTTAAACTGCATATAAGCCCACAAAACATAAACAAACACTTTTATGATTTAGTTGCGCTATAACCTTTTGCATTTTAACTTTGCATTAAAAAACCTACACGGTTTCTGACTGCAGGCAACACTGTGTAATCATGCTGAGCAGAAAAGTTAAATCTTCATAATGCTGATTTTTTGTTTTTTCATTTGCAGTCATGGCCGCTGCATCCATCGCTAACATCGTGAAGAGCTCCCTC